ACAAATCGTACTAAAAAAATGGTTTCGAAAAGTTTGAAGTTCGCTATTATCGTTATATCGTCTTCGAAGAAACTATATTGCATAAAAAAAAGAAATTTCCCCAAAAAATTGGTTTTTCTTAGTTATCCTACGAATTTATTGAGTGATGTGAAATATATCGTTTTCAAATATTTGATGGGTAGTTAAAATTTTAATATCAAGCATTGCGAAGATTCGATTTAAACCTATATTTTTTGAGAAAGCGGCACAATTCAGTCGGGAAATTTCTTCCATTAATAACCCCTAGTTTCAATAACTTTTATAAGAAAAAAATGTGTTAAAGCATTTTAATATCACGTGAATTCAGTAAGTGTAAAACAGAAGAGCTACAGTGTGAAAGTGCAATTTGTACTGACAATTAGTTGATGTATTATATAAACTTTCTTTATCATATATCTAAAGGCTACGCCCGTGCATAAGAACGTGCGTTTGGTACGAAATAACATCGGCATCGTAAATTTGTTCATTTATGTTTTCGACGATACTTCCGTGTAAGGTTTTATGGGATATAAAAATAATATTAATACCAGCATGAACATGAGACACGACTTGGGAAATATTGTGTATACTTATAGTTTGTTATTGGCGATGCAAAGATTAAGCGCGCGCGCGCCTCCGTTGACAACATTCTTAACGAATGTCAGGACCGAAATATCGATAACATAATCTCGAATCCCGAATCCCGAAAAATAAATTACTGTAGGCGTTTCGAATACATATTAATACGTTCATAATTTTGTATGAGACATTTTTGCATTCCATGGTAAAACTAATGGTCCATGGCATCGTGCTTTAAGGCAAATTGCAGGAATTCCCAGTACCGTAAAATTTAGAATTTTTTTGAAAATGTTGAATTTTTTCAAAGCGATCGTTTATAAAATATCTGATAATTTGATGTGCAATTCTTCATTCCGTCAATACATGTAAAATGTTTTTTGAATCATTCAAACCGGACGCTCCCTTCTTTCAAAAACTGAATTGCATTTTTTACATTTTTTGTCCAGTTTTTACATTTTCTTTCTCAAAAACCAATCAGCACGTCTGACTGAGGAGGCGTCCATTAATCACGTGAGCGAGTTTTTAAGGACTTTTGGACCCCTCCTCCCCCTTGGTGATACATGGTGATATCAAAAATTACCCCCCCTCTCCCACCAAACATTAAGTGTATTTTTAGTTGCGTGATAAAACTGTAAAATTTTTGATTTTTTTTTGACAATGTTTGATACGTGATATTTCGTGATTTTTTGTCAGACCCCCCCCTCCCCCTAAAAACCTCACGCGATTAATGAACGCCCCTTTATAAGCTAATAATTAGCATCAGAAACCGAATGCTTTTTTAATCATTCAAGTCAATAAATCTGTGCTCTCCAAATCGTCGACGAAAATTTGTATCCGGACGTACATAGTATATACAAACTACACACACATACACATACACACACATTCACACATGCATCAATTTTTTCTAAGGTATGCCAAAATGTTCAGAAAACTGAGACGTAAAGACAAGCTAAAATTTTTATTTTTGATATTTTTTCGATTATTATAACCTACCCTATGGTAGAATAAAAAGTCCTAACAAAAAACTGAATTCATAAATTGATTATTTTGTTAATCATTTTTTTAATTAATTTTCATTGTTAGAGATCAATTTCAGATCTAGAGATTTGTTCAGTAAAATTACGGCATAAATAAGTATTTAATAAATAGTTTAAAAGCATAAGTGATTTATAATTGTCTTTCGTGCTGCGAAGATATAAATGTAATTTGTGTTCGCCAAGGTGCTCGTAAAATTAAAAAAAACTTTTTTGCTGCGAGTTGGACGACGCCAAATCAGTGGCATTATTTTTGTAAAAAGTCAATAGCTCGTGGAAGATGTCTCAGGTATGTAAATACTGCTCGTCCATTTTGACACAGGTGAAACTTAACTACATAAATGCATAAATAGGACTCCAAGTGATTTTAATTGCTACAAGTCGAGATATTCAACACATCGTTTGTGGCAAAATTGCATATTTTAAACATGAATTTTTTAGCTGCGCCAGCGATTCCTAATCTATTTTGAATTATTACATTGCATTGCATTGAATTATTAACATAGAGCAATCCAAGAATCACTCATGTCATGTTTAAATTAGTTTCTTTTTATATATCATATATAAAAATTAATTATTTTTTTAATTATTATTTTATTCGTCAATGATATCGATATTTAGCGCTACATTGATTTTAAATATACAAAAATATAGATGAGTTATAAAATATAATATAATTATTATTGTATTTAATCACATAATGCATAAAAAATCTAAACCAAAAATTAATTTTGCATTTATTTATGCCAATTATGTATAGGCAATATGCATATTCGGACAGAGCTAAATTAAGACATCTTAATACTTTATATTTATACTGCTAAAATTTGGAAACCATAAAGGACACTTCACTCTAAAAAAATATAAGACCTAATTCGACTATTAATATGTAAGCATGGTGAAAAAGTATGCTCGATATATAAACATATCATTTTTAAAAATGAAGAGAAAAGTTATGAAAATATTCGTTTACAATAAGTATATCAAAAAATGCAAAAAATCAATGCTAATTTTTTATTTAAAATTACACATTGAATTTTTCCTAAAGTTTAAGGTAAAATTAATATATATAATGAACCAAAAACTAATGTGCGATATGTTAAAAATAAATTTGAATAGTACGCATTTGAAATTTTGTATTTAGGGTTCATTTAGTGATTTTCAATACACATACATTTTTATATACATACAATCAGAAGAAAAAATAATTTCACGTATTAAGGATAGTGAATATAAAAAAGCTCCGTTATTTTTTTGCTAATTAGAATACTTAATTATTATTCGTATTTTTAAATTTTTAGAAACAGTTCAATAGTTATTAATTGAGATTAGTTTTTACAGTTTTTTAGAGTGAATAAGATATAAATAATGAAATTATATAAGTCAAGACTCAATGCTAAATTTAAATCTTAGAAAAATGATAGTAATCTAGATAGAAAAAATGCTAGATATTTTTTGTAAATGGATAAATTATTTATTTATTTTTTAATTACAAGTTTCCTAAAAAATCTGACACGAAGCAAAATTTTGTACCCGTTTGATAAATATAAATTGAAAATGATATTGATTAGTTCGGTAATAAATAGTTAAACATGAAACATAAAATTATTGATAAATATGAATGTTATTAAACTGTTTTAATTATACAGGCAACCAAAAAGATTCCCTAAACATTCACCCAGAAAATTATTTCTAAATTCAAAACAACAATTTCCAATATATAATATTTAATTGCTATAGTATAGCTATCTTTATATTTTTGCTTTATTTCAATAATTTTATCATATTGAACTATGTTTTAAAGTAATTATTAGTATATGTACAATTTGGCAAAGGCAACAAAACGCTACTTATAATAATATAGTGTTCAATAAAATAATGCTATAATAATTTACACAAATATATAAATTTCCCAAGTTTGACAATCTTTTATATCGTGCATGTTTATTCTAGGAATATGGTGAAATTAATTATTCTTCAGTCGCTTCACACTTTACACCAAAGGTATAATTTTAGGTAAAAAAATATACGAGCAATAATTGAATAAACACTTAGCGTTCTTCTAATGACGGACTTCGGGGCGCGAGGCATCGGTTGCAAATCGGAACAATGACATGAAATTAGTAGCTGAGCAAGGATAAATTCCTTGCCTTCCATGAATCGAATTATCAAATGTAATATGATAATGAATGAGAAATTGACTAGTAAAATTGAAATTAAAATAAATGAATCATGCCAATCGGCGCTTTTGTGAAAATGAAATATAAGAAATGAGTTCCCACTGTTAAAAATTACTTATTAAGAAATTTGACCAGCAGGTGTTTCTCTTTCTGAAAAAATTATTTGATCCATATTTTTACTGAATAAAAAATTATTTGTTATTATATTAAATATATTTCTTACTACCTCAGAGACAAGTTTATGTTTCGCCAGAAAATCCGAATTGTCAGTCTGAATCATTTGAGACCAAATTTGAAACAAATATGTATGTAGATTAAAGTTTATATAATATCTGAATTATATTCAAATATAATTATAATCAAATTGTGAATCGGTATTGTGTAATAATTGTTTATAATTTGGAAATTAAAATTATTTACATTCCAAAAAATATATTATTATATATTATATATATATATATGTATATATATAATATATATATATATTATATATATATATATATATATATATATATCAGACGTCCATTATATTATATTATATTTAGATCATGCACAAATGAAAATATTAATGCAAACCATAGAGACATAAATATAAATACCATATTGTATTTGTTGAAGAGATTTATAATCTGTAATTTGTAAAGAGTGAGAAAAATATCAGTTCGAACGTATTTCCGTTTTATTATATTGGCCATTAAGGTGACAATCTTCATGGCGTTGAGCTTTGCACGGGATGGTTACTACCCCCGGTAGAGGGGTTAGCGGATAGTTTTAATTGGGCTAATTATTCACTTCTAAAAGTAAAGTCCGCAAGACATTATGTGTAATAAATAATAAATAAATATATCTTCTTTCATTATAGCTTAGTAACAAATCAGTGACTGTAATAAGAACTGCAAGAAATACATAATATATCAACAAATTATTGTTTAATACAGTACACAGCTACAAGGGTTAAATTATAACCCATAAATAATTGTTTAATAATAAATTTCATAACTACGTAACATAAATACAATATCTTATAGAATATTTTGTCCTTATTTCGGTATCTACATATATATCTTTAAAATTTATACTTATAAACGATTGAAGAAGAAAAATATGTCTTTAGATTTATTTTGTAGTTACTCAAGTAAGCTAGTAAAATTAAATTTTAGTTTATTAATGAAATGAACTTAGTTACCTTGGCATGGTAGATCTCTGGATGAATAGTAGGATGCGGATCTCCCCACCTTCGATTTAAATCTTCATTTGTTAGTCCACAACGATAACTGTAAAAAATGAAATGATAATATTAGTAATAATAAAACAAATTAATGATTTAATAGAATTTATATATAAATAATAATTCGCAACCTTGCACAAAGGTCCGCGGGTAAAGAAGTCCAATGCGATACCTCAAGTATTGGTCAAGAATTTTTTAACAACAATATTTGAAAATGCGGGGAAAAACATGTATAACCAGCCATCACCTTGATTCCTACAACGTCGATATCATAAGATAAACGACAGTGTTAAAAATACATATCAAAAGTATTTTATTTCGTTGTTAGTTTTTGGTTGTGAGCACTGCCCTTTAGTTTACGGGGGCTTGATATAATTAAACTTAAGTATACGTTATTTAATTCTTTTATAATATATATTGATATTTTCAAATTAGATTCACCAGTTATTTTTATATAACCCCTATAAAAGCTCACACCTGGGTAGGGTAAAAAGGACCAACTAAACCTTTACCCTGATGAAGGTGTATGTAAAACATTAATAATAACAAATAATAAAGTAAATTGAGTTGAATAAAGCAATTTTACAAGAGATACATTAAAAATAGTTATTCCTACTCTGCTGATGAATTTTTCTGACAAAATACCAGATCAAGGTTATTTATTAGCTATTAGTTATAATATAGCGCAAAATCCCTTCAAAACAAAAAAATATGGCATTGGATCTGTTTGCCTCTCGGCCGTCGTATTTTGCAAACAAATTTTTGAAAAAACAACAAAAAACACATTTCTACAATGATGAATTGTAGTGTAATTGGAGTTTTACTGATCGTAGTCAGATAGTTGTTGGTTTGATATGTGTTATTTGTTGTGATATAATTGGTTTGGTTTTTGCGATATATGTGCTCAAAGTCAAATTGGAACTTTATGCCCCGCCCTACTCTACTTTTAATTAATATATTTAAATTATATCATATCAGTATCATTTAAAGTAGTTAGAAATTACTTTATAGTAAACTATGTTTAGCAATTATAACTAGAATCTTTTCGTCTTTTTGTGTGACGCTTATCCTAGAAGTAAAGTGTAACTTCCGCTTCGGCTGAAATTAAAAATTCAGTTCAACTTTTTATCCATCTGCCTTCGTATCAGTTCCGAACATGAATAGAGTTACATTATCTGCATCTTTTTACTATAAACCGAGTTACTATACAGAATGCAAGTAGTAATTGTGAAGGTAATATACGGCCTAACGAATCATTAGCAGCCTGATGCATGTAATAACATAGACCATAGTTCTATGTTATTAGTTAATTTGCAAGCAGCAACATGAAGGAAAGATTTTCTACTAGATATCTTTATTTACTGGAACACACTGTTTATTTTTAGAGTAATAGCAGTTGCTAGAATATTATTTCTCTTACTATTAAAACGATTTTATTACTTCATATGAGCTTATAATATAAATGTATTACTTATTGATTAAATGTTGTTATGATAAAATCAATTTCAAAGTTAAAATTAAATATAAAATGAAATTAAATTTATCAGAAGCAATTTTTTATATTTTTTCCGTTATAAATCATAAATAAAAGTTTTTAATACCAAATAAAATAGAATAAATATATATTTACTAAAAATCATTAATCACATTTTATGTGACATGAAAAATTATCATACAACAATATATTTGAAATAATATGAATTATTTGACAAATAATCCTTGAAAAGATTTATATATTGAGCGTTTCCCAATATTCTGAACATAATATTATCGATTTCACGCTTTTTTTGTATGCTATAACACAATATATAATTAATATTATGCATGAAAAATAAATTAAATCGAAAATAATCGATTATCGTATAAACAACTCTTTTGACAAAACGTTTTGATTATATTTTGATTAATAAAATTATTATATTTAATAACTTAAATATGTTATGTTTTCTTTGCATTTAAGAAGTCATTCAGAAAAAAATTTCATCATCATCATATTATTATAGACGTATAATGATAATGTATAAAATCTAATATGACTCTGTTAGTGTGTAAAATTAAAATTAAATCATCACATAGATTAGCGTTATTATGACATTTAAATGGATACTCTGCCTCGGCCTTTTTTCGTTCGATAAACTTCATAAAATTCATGTAATCATTTTCATAGCTCACGGTTATGGAATTAACGTTATTATATATAGAGAGAAACAAACAAAATATTTGCTATATTTATTTTTCTGTTACAAAAAAGGTAAAAAATGCTGGCAGTTGGCGATTAACGAAAATGTTACCAGTATTTGAACCGCAAAATATCCATTCGAAAAATTTGATGAAGTTAATTCACGTATCAAATAAGAGAATATCAATGCGCAAAAATAATCGCAGCTTAGATTTGTTTAATTGTTTATAATCACTCGAATTGTTAGCTAGCCTGTTTTTGATATTTGCTAGTTTAAAAAAGAAAATCACTTTTCAAATGATGATATTTGGACTTGTGGCTCAGTGGATTTGCAATCATGTGGTACCAGGTTCGATTCACGCCTAGAAACTAACTGATATCAATCTAGAAGTAATATAAATTTTTACCTAAAAATATGGATCTAAAATATGATTTCAATCGCAAAAGCGCAATCAAATAATGGCAATCATTCGGTTGCCTTAAGTTTTATTCTCAATATTCTGAATTTTGCATAGTTAACAATAGCTCATAAACTATTCTTACAATTAGATTTTGATGGATTGATTTATATATTAATACTTTTGGAGGTGATTTACACTGAATAACGCTATTTACAAAGTTTATATTGAGATTGTTATGTAAGGACTTATTGCTGACGAACCAAGGGGCATTAGTAATCAGTCTTAAATTTTTAGACGATTGCAACAAATTTTTAAGTAGTTTTTAATAGGCTTAGAAATTTTATTTATTGGTTTCAAGCAAATTGTCTAAACGTATATAATGTCTGACTCTATCACCATGCGAAGTTTCATCAAGATCCCAGAAGAGTAACCCTTCCCTTGTTAGTTTTACCTTGTTAGTTTTCTAACAAACATTTCTAAAACTAACAAAAACTTGTTAGTTTTTTGGTTCACAATATGCTCTGTTTAGGACTAGGTATAGGAGATAAAATGTGGAATACGTTACAAGGAACAGCCTATGAGGGTTGAATATTATCTATTGGGATTTTCTTCGTCAGCTTTCTAGAATCTGATGTCTCAGGAAATTGTGCGATCATAACATTCTGATAATCTCCCAGCTTATAAAGCTAATCTACAGTGTAGATTCTGCACTAATAAATCTAATAACGCTCTCTAAAAAGTCTATATTGGGATTGTCATGTACGGACTTATTGCTCATGAACTAAGGGGCATTAGTTTTTAAACTTTAATAAGCTAAGTAATTTTATTCATTGGGCTCAAGCAATTTGTTCTAACGTACATAATGTCTTAATTTATTGTTTATAGTCTGTTTAGGCTAAGTAAAGGTATAAAAGTTAAATATTAAAAATGTGGAATATGTTACAAGGAACAGTTAATGAGGGTTGAATATTATCTATTAGAATTTTCTTCTTCAGCCTTCTAGAATCTGGTGTCTAAAGAAATTGTACGACTGCATTGCATTCTGATTATCTCTTAGATGGTGAAGTAATCTACACTACTAAATCTAATAACGATCTCTAAAAAGTCTATATTGAGATTATCATGTAAGGTCTTATTGCTGACGAACCAAAGAGCATTAGTAATCAGTCTTAGATTTTTAAACTACTGCAACAATTTTTTCAGTAGTAGTTAATGTGAAATATGTTACAAGGAATAGTTTATGAAGGTTGAATACGAGATTGAGATTTTCTTTTTCAGCCTTCTAGATGCTGGTGTCTAAAGAAATTGTGCGACTATGGCATTCGGATTATCTCCCAGCTCGTGAAGGCAATCTACACTAATAAAATTAATAACGCTCTCCAAAAGGTTTATATTGGAATTGTCATGTAGAGAACATTGTTCATAGCCAAGGAGCATTAGTAATCAGTATTAGATTTTTAGACTATTGCAACACATTTTTTAGCAGTTTTTGAACCTCAATTGGCTAAGTAATTTTATTTATTGGATTCTAGCCATTTTCCTTAACATACATAATGTCTTAGTGGTTTGTTCACAATATGCGCTGTTTAGGCCTAGTACAGGTATGATATTCAACTTATTCTGCGTATCGTTCGGTTGGGAAATCTCAGACGATTCCATGCAAACATAGTTACAATCTGTTCGCGATAGGTTCACGAGTGATATATAACGTACGCATGCTAAGGAATGACAAATCACCCTTATCTCCTTTTGCAGAAGCTACTTGTCTTCTTACTATGTTTTTATTTATTTATTTATCCGAGCACATATAGCAAAAAGCAAACACGTCGTTGGTGGCTGAGTATTTTAATTGTGACTTTGTTTATCTATGCGCTAATGTTAAGAAGTTTTTTTCTGTTAATTCTGAGCGAAATATGTTAGGCCGTTTTACTTGGATTACTTGCGACGACCTTGTATTGAAGATACCAGAGTGAGAATAGATGCAAATGGATGGAATATAGGAACGGGCAAATGAACTGAAATATTTCAGATTCACATAGAATGCGCATAAATATATGAGCGTACCTATAAAATCTACATACTATTGAAAATCATTCTCTAATTGCAATGTAAAAGAATTTTAATACCAGATTCAACAAAATAACAATTTTTCAGAGAGTTTCAATAAAATGACACAAACTATGTTTTGATTCGAATATTTTATTTGCATCGATAAATAAGTAATTTGAAATAAATTAACAGCGTATTAGTATTTTATTTTAACATAACAAATTTATCGTCTCATATTTGACTGAAGTGTATTTTGCGACAAATTATTAATAAATTCTAGTTATTTAAAATAAGGAGTTCTGCAAAACTATGTAAGAAACACAAAAGCTCTTTAATATAATTATTTAAGCTCCCCCGCCAAGTAGCGGTTAGAGACATAAAATTTCAATCAGAAGGTCTAGGTTCAAGACCCGCCTC